GGGGTGAGCTAAAACCCAGGAAAAGCAAAGTGTGTGATACAACACTGCTACATGGTGGTATTGTAGAACATATCGGCTACGTCTACACTGGCATGATTTTCCGAAAATGCTTTTAATGGAAAAGTTTTCTGTTAAAAGCATTTTCAGAAAAGTGCATCTAGATTGGCAGGATTCTTTTCCGCAAAAACACTTTTTGTGGAAAAGCGTCCGTGGCTAATCTAGACGCAGTTTTCCGCAAAAAAGCCCCTTTTTTGCGGAAAACAGTACTGTGCTGTCTACACTGGCCCTTTTGCTCAAAAGTCTTTCGGAAAAAGACTTTTGCCCGAACGGGAGCAGCATAGTATTTCCAGAAAAGCACTTACGATCTTACATGAGATCGTCAGTGCTTTTCCGGAAATTCAAGCGGCCAGTGTAGACAACTGGCAAGTTTTTCCGCAAAAGCAGATGATTTTGCGGAAAAACTTGCCAGGCTAGACACAGCCATCCATTATAGTGCCAGTCATTTTGAACAGTCATTGATCACACAGCAAGGGCCATATGGCCTAAGAAAGGCCCCATGAAAGCCATAGATATGCACTCCCAAGAGTGGCTTGATGTCTTCCCTGTGCATGTTGTGCCTGTTGACACATTGCACATCCAACTTTTTAATTTGGATATTGATGTTTAGCCACCAGACCTAACTTGTTGCCAAAACTTTCATTAAGCCCCCCTCCCCCAATAGTCTAAATGCAGCTCTTCCAGTAGTGAATTCCTAGGGATGACAGCTCAAATACCCCACAGGCAGGCCCGGCCTTAGGGCAAGGCGAGCAAGGTGGTTGCCTTGAGCCCTGCACCTTCAGGTCCCTGCGCTTCCCAGTGACCAGCTGCCCGGCTGCTCACTCGCTACCCTGGCTGGGAGCCACCCAGACATGCGGTACAGCCAACGACAAATGCCACCTTGGGCCCTGCAAATTCTTTGGCCGGGCCTGCCCACAGTAGGCATCTATCGCTATTGGCTGGCTACAGAATGGGGAGGAGGGGAAGGAGAGAATATGTACGTGTTGGATTTGCCATTCTTTCCCCATAGCCTCATACAGCTGTTCTAACAGGGGATTCTTCCAATTGCTTTCTTCACACTTGCACAGGCTACTTGTACGGCATCTCTTTCAAATATGTTGCAAATACATCTTCTGAGTCTGACCCGCAGGATCAAACTATTTACTCAGGGATGGGTTTTTTGTTTGTTTGTTTTAATTAATTATGTCTCAGTCCTGCTCTTACGTGGTAAATTTCCTATTGACATAAACAGAAGAAGTTTCAGGCTTTTGGTGCCTTAACAGTGGTTTGGCAGGGTAGGAACACTAGATGGCAGGGTAGGAAAACATCATTACAATCAATATGAAGCTTCCCTTGTCTCAAAAACATCCCAAACACTTAGTTAATGCAAATAATGTGATGGGCCAGTAACAAAATTAAAATCCTGCCATATCAGTAATGAAACCAAGAGGCAAAAGGTGAGCTGGAGAGCTTTCACATCCCAGCTGGCAGGGCTCGGTACTTGGTTTAGTTGATTTACTTCGCTAGGTTGGCTTATACTAGCAGGCAGGATATAAATCATGCTGCATGATCTCAAGTCAGACTCATTCCGTTTGTGTCTGACCTTTAATTCACCTCTTTTCCTAGTTATTAGTTGGAGTTTGAATAGCAGCGAGGGATTCTAGGAGACACTTTATACATGCGTGCACACACACACACGCACGCACGCAGAGCCATGAAGGAATTAAAAATCTCTGGGCCTGGAGGGACTAAAGCGCAGTGGGAGACAGTGTAACCTTTCCTTATAATTGTCTAACTCTCTGCAGTCTTACAAGACATGCCAATGAGGCAGCATGGTCAGTGAACTGGGAACTAGACGAGGGCTCAAGGAACCTCAGTTTTAATCCTGGGTGTGGCTCTGCTACTTGCCCACAGTGTAACTTTGGCCATGTCATTTCCCACCAGTTTCCCGTGTTGCCTCGCACACAAGACTGGGTGGAAAGTTGTTTTCTCATCCCATGACAATTCTGACATTGCAAATTTTCCATCACAAATCATAACCTTACATTAAAAATATTAAACAAATTTCGCAAACCACAAATCCAAAAAAGGTGTTTGGTTCAGGTCAACCAAAATGGTTCGTTTTGATGTCATCCTATCCCCATTCCCTTATCTGCAAAGTGATTAACATTTCAAAACAAAAAGTCATTTTGACTCAACTCCCCCCAGTTTTCCTGTTCAACAATCTCAAAACGTTTTTAAACCAAACATGTTTCCCTTTGAGAGTTTGAGCTGAACCTGATACTATTTCAGAAATCATTTTGGTTTTGACAAATCAATATCTTTTAGTTAAAAAAAAATTTAATATAAAAAAAATGTCTCAGTTAGCTCTACACACAACCTCAGTTGGAGCCTTCAGATGCTATCATAATATATGTACATAATAATTGGCCTTGATCTTGTTTATTTCACAGGTTGCTCACTGCAGTAATAGTATATAATAAAAATAAGGTGCTGGGGTACCAAACGTACAGTCATATTTCAACACAGTATAAAAGGGCCGAAGTATGGCTGCCCCTCTGTGGATACATAACGGGAGGGGAGAGGACATGGGACCTCTTTCCTCATTGCAACGATACAGGAGACAGGCTCATCACTGCCCAGCAAAACCCATTCCTCCCTTGTAAAGCCCAAGGGCTTGGAATTTAAGTAGAACATCTTTGTGCCAGAGGCACGGGGCCACTGTATCCATCGCAGCCTTCTGAACTGAGAGGCAGGACTGAGAGGTACACCCTTTCCACAGGAAACAAGGTGTAGGTGGGGGCCCTTATGTGACCACTGGGTCTGCTGGCCCCTCTTCCCCATTGTGCAAAGTTTAAATAGTGGTGAGCACCTTGCCCTGTTCCTCTGCACCACGGGTGAATTTTATTCCCTAGTACAACAGGGGCCCGTAACAGAGCTGGCAAGGCTGCCGTCCCCAAAGGGAACATGAATAGCTCAGTGGGTTCCCACTTGGAAATACCCTCCCTGCCATCTCTAAAACTCCTCTGTTGGAGCTCTGTTCTGCGCAGTGTTCTCTCCCCAGCAGGGTCCTCTTCCCTCTGGCCATACCCCCGGGCTTCTCCATCCCCAGTTAATACCCCAGTGCTAAAATGCAGCCAAGAGATTGATCACCGCCAGATCACCAGTCCTGCTGTGAGACCCAGAGGTGGTTCAATGCTATGAGGTTGTCAGCCTTCAGGCTGTGGTAGTGTTGTCACCTCTCCATGGGCCACCTGTGCTTCATGGGCTGGGGCTGCAGCAGAAGCAAGGAAGCCGGAAGCTGATCTCCTCATGGGCCTTTTCTTCTGCTCCTTCCTTGCCTGACGGGGGCAGGAGAGCTGATAGCCAGGGGCTGTGAGGAATGCTGTGGTCACTAGCTCCCCTTCTGTTGCTCCTGTTCCAGCTCTTCATTTCCTTAGTTGGGCTATAACTGGAGGGAGGGAGGGAGGCAGAGTGTCCTGACAGGGAGAACCTGAGGAGATGGAATGGGGCTGGTAGGAGGAGCAAATGGGTGCCAGAGTGGAGGGTTAGGTGTGGGATTGAGAGGGCTGGAGCATTTCTGGAAAACAGACAAATACTGTGGGTGTTCTGGGAAGGAAGAAGAGAGGGCAGTCTCTCCTGGTGAGATAACTGGAGGGAGGGAGGGAGGCAGAGTGTCCTGACAGGGAGAACCTGAGGAGATGGAATGGGGCTGGTAGGAGGAGCAAATGGGTGCCAGAGTGGAGGGTTAGGTGTGGGATTGAGAGGGCTGGAGCATTTCTGGAAAACAGACAAATACTGTGGGTGTTCTGGGAAGGAAGAAGAGAGGGCAGTCTCTCCTGGTGAGCCCAAGCCGCTGGCTGCCTGAGGGAGCTTGCAGAGAGGAAAGCTGCTTCAGCTGACCGCCCACCCTGCCCCTCGGTCAATAGACCCTGCCCTGACTGGGAATCAAATCCCATCAGGGCTATGTGGCTGACAGAAGCATTTCAATTGGCTGAGGGGGAATATGCTGTTTATCTCCACAAATGCCTCTAGTGTAAGGTGACCGTAGGGCCTGTTTTGGCCAGGACAGTCCTCTCCTGGGTATCCTGACTTTTTTGACAAAAAAGGGAATTATGTCTGATTTGCTTTTGTGCTTTTACCAGAAAAGTCCCAGAGGGGGTGTGGAAGAACATTGGAGGGGGGCAGCAATCCTGGATGCTGGGCAGCAGGGTTTGCGGGGAGTCAGCTCAGCTGCCGGCAGGCACAGAGCTTGGGACTCAGCCCTAGCCATTGCCAGCATGGGGCTCGGGTGCTTAGTCCCAGCCTCATCCCTGGGCAGCATGGGGCTCAGGCACTCAGCACCAGTCCCAGCAACAGAATGGGGGGCAGCTTTAGGAAATATGGTCACCCTACGCCACATGGCACACTCCTCGCCTTGCTGAATGGCCTGCTTGTGAAGCGAGCTATCTCCCTGACAGGAAGGCAGAAGCTAGGCCGTGATGAAACAGAGCTGATCAAAGACTGATGAAATCCGCTACAGTACTCAGGCCAAAGCATTAGTTTTTGATCATTTATTATCAGACCGTCTAAGCAGCTTTGTCCCAATGTCCCGATGTGCTTTGCTTGAGCACTATGTGAGCATATGACACAGGCCTTTGTTATGGCATTATGAAAAGCAAAAACAATACTATAAAAACCAGCAAAGGATTTCTTCTCAGGCATCTCTGCAGTTAGTTACCGTTTGCTTTCACTAGTCTTCTATTGAGCTCCAGGATAAATACAATCCTGCAATGTATTTCCTATGGTCTGTGCCACTGTTTCTTTAGCTTCACTTTACCTGTGCTTTGTGGCTAAATGCAGCCCCCAGTATTTAAGAACGCAGGCAGGGCTTTTATTGTGAAAAGAGCCTCTTCAAATTAACTGGCTGGCACCCCCCCTTTCTCTTCTCCCCTCCCCACAGGGAGGTGGGTCTGGACTGTCGGGCTGCTACATACTTTAAAACTAGCAGCTGAAGTTTGCCAGTTGTACACTGTGGATATGCACTAGCTGCTGAAGTGCATTTGGGCCCATAGTACCAGATTATATTCTTCAAACTCATGCACCCATCCAGCACACGGCTAAGAATGACTCCAAGAAGGAAAAAGTAACACACACCGGACCCTTCTGTAAAGGCTGATGACAACATACCAGCACGGATTTATGAAAACTAACTACCCTTTGGAATAATGAGTAGGAGGTACAAATTGCAAAGAGCCTCCCGCTGGGCAATATATATTGGTTGGAATAGGCACCCTGGAGTGACAACAGCTGGTTGTAATTAAAAAAAAGGAGAGAAAAATGGAGAAAGGAGACGTGTTGATTAATAGCTGAAGTTTGGGTTGTTGTTTTTTAGTGGTTTCTTGTGCAAACCCAGAGCAAAAGCCCTACAACTAGTCCAAGCCTAGGAACCACAGGGTTTAATGTCTGAAAAGGACAAGACTACAGTGGGCAGTGTCTCCTCCAGGAGATGAAGAGAGAAGGTGGCTAAGGGAGAAGAGGAGAAGCCCCACTGCCTGCATTGCAAAACTATGGTATGATTTACATGCTTTACTGCAAAGTTCTTGGTGCAAAAGGATGTTTAAGCTGCTGAGAAGCATTAGCCATTCATAGACGTCATAGAATCAGCCCGACAGGTCATTTCATTGTCCAAGATGGTACCGAGAAAACTGGGATTAGACCTGTTCAGATGTTTTGGTGCACAGGTAAGCAAACAAGAAGCTCATTTGCCCCCTATTAAATAAGTGTCCTTTATAATGCCATGGGTGGACAGTCAAGAAACTGCTAAGAGGCTTTGAAACACAAAATTCCCTAGAAGTTAGTGGATAACGTTAGGCTGGTATGTCTGGTTATTCAGAAGCATGCTTGTGCCAGTTTGCTCTGTTGGTCAGTGAGGTGACCCTGGGAAACAGGGAGCATTTGAACAAAGTGGTTTTTTTTTAAGTGTATAAAGAAATAAACTATGCAATCTACAGTGACAGAGTAATAAATAATGAACTGAATCATTGTTGGTATACACAGACTCAAAGGGGATGGATAAGGAACATGGACAGTGAGTGGTGGAATTTTGCTACCATTATCATCAGTCTGTACAAACTGATGAAAGGAATGGAAAAGAAATCTAAAATGAAATTCCTCACACAAACAGCTAGTTTGCTGGCTTTTCCCTCTCCAGACTTCCAATCATAAGCCCTCGTGAGCAATGTTCTCTCTATTTTTTTTCATGTGAGGAATACATTTTGTTATATGCACCAATGTATGTGTAGATGTGCACCACTAGTAGAAACACATTGCCAGGTGTGGGTACTGTGAGCATTCTACTAATCAGTTGGGTGGCATTAGATGCTCTCCTGAGTGGCCGCCCAAGTGCTCAGCTCACAGGGAACGCTGCCCATGAGCCTCTTTTTCTTTTCCTCAGTTTGATCTGCTACTTTGAAAGAATGGGGTAAACTTAGAGCTATGTGAAAATACACAATGGCTGTGATGAAATGGTCTATCATTTTGTTTTGTCTGTTTTCACACCTATGGCACACAGATTCCATCACAGCCTCCCCTCCCCATCCCCAAAGAAAAGAATGGTTATTTGGCTGCATAAGAAGAGCAAAATTGAGAAATGTCTCATTTTTACAACACACCCAAGTTTTCAAAAAATGGTCCTGTTTTAACATGAAGATGTCTTGAAAACCAGACTGCTTTTAACTCGCAAAAATGTTCAGATTTGAGGCAAATACATTGTCTCCCACTAGCACAAACATAACAGCTTAAGAGAGAATGAACCCAGATTTTTTTTTCTGCTCTCAGTATCGGGTTTCATGTTAAAGCTGAAGTGTCCATCTCTGTTCAAGATATTTGTGGTGCCTGTAAAACCTGCTACTTTTGGCCATAGCCAGCACACATTATAGAACATGTCCATTGCAGATGTCTTAACACTGTCCCTGTCCCATTACATGGATTTGTAAACTATTATAAAGCAAACCCTTTGTTCCTCTTCTGCTAGTCAATACCATTTCTTCCCAACTAGCCTGAGGGCATCCCAGGATGGCACTCATGGCAAAAGTGCCTGAGAAACCCTGGCACTAGCTAGCCATTGAGAAGAGAATTATATAGTCAGTAGCCATTCAAGAGTCTTTTGGAGCTCAAGGATGAAGAAATTTTGTTTTTAAGGTGAGAGAACAATAGGACTTCCAGAAAATGTGCAGTATTGCACAACTGTGCATTGATAAGTGAATAAACCCAATATTGGCTGTGTCTATATTGGCACCCTTTTCCGGAAAAGGGATGCTAATGAGACACTTCAGAATTGCAAATGCTGCGGGGGATTTAAATATCCCCTACGGCATTTGCATGAACATGGCTGCCGCTTTTTTCTGGCTTGGGGTTTTGCCGGAGAAAAGCGCCAGTCTAGACAGGATCTTGCAGAAAATAAACCCTTTTCCGGAAGATCCCTTATTCCTACTTGAAATGTAGACACAGCCAATGAGTTTCTGGTGCAGCTGCATGGAACTAGTGCTATAGTATGATCAGGCCACTGATATTTTTTTGGGTAGTGGCTTGGCGGGCTGCATCTGGCCCACAAAGGGTATTTTGCCCAGGCCTTCAGTAAAGGATGTTCTTAAGGTCTGATTCTGCAAACGCTCGGACAGATGAGTAATCCCATATTTAGCCAGGATAAATCACATTTGTGTAAGTGATGGCAGGACCAGGCCCTTCATCATGAATGATCCAGTTGGGAAAGTTCTGCATGGTAACAAATGAGGATTGTGCACTGGTTTCTCATTGTTTAGCTAATTAAATTGAGTGCTGGTGAGATGTTGAGGCATGTCAGCCCTGGAAATGCTGTATGCCAAAGAGACAGTCCTCAGACACAATGTGGGGGCAGACATCACTGATCTGTCCAGGTGATATATTAAGATATAGCCACAGCTGTTTATTTTATCCATTTGCAGATTGTGTCTTGGCACCTGAACTGAAAAAAGGCCACCCTGTCTCCTAACATGAGCATTTCTCCAATGGCAGTACTGTCATGTCTTATGCATTAGTCTAGGATGTCGGGGTTTTTTTTTAACTATAAAGCAAATAGCAATCCCCACCCCCACCACGAGGAATATGGAGCAGTCTGTTTTCGAAGGATGTTAAAATTTGGTTAAATAGGTAACCGTGAAAGTGTTGAAAACCTCAGCAGTTACATGGTTACACGCTGTGGGCTCTGCAGTACAAAGCTTCAACAAACTTTATTTTGCAGAGCCTGCAACTAAGCCCCCACCAGGAGCAGGGCCACCAGCCCCTGCTAGATCCATTCCTGGGGAGGAGGCTTCCCTGCCACAGCAAAGCCTCCTCCCCAAGATCAGAGCCAGCAGCCCTTGCCTTCCCAGCTCCCAGGGAGGAGGTTTTGCTGTGGCAGTGAAGCCACCTCCCAGGGGAGTGGAATGGACAGCCTCCCTAGGAGTCTGAGTGTAACCGGCACCATTAACCAATAAGCATCAGTGTATTGGTTACTGGGTTGCACTTTAACATCCCTACTGTTTTCACTCCTCACCCATAATCTCACAGGTGCTGGTGATAGTTGTTACCATGCAGAACTTTCCCATCTGGATCATTCATGATGGAGGGCCAGAGCCTGCCGTCACTTACATAAGTGAGTAACTTTACTCCTGTGAGTAGTCTCGTTGATTTCAATGAGATTTCCCCTTCTGTGCCCCTTTGCTTATGTCCTCCTGCTCCCTCCGAGGCATGTTAAGAAACTAGAGCATTGGCTCTTTCTAACCTGTTTCCTTTTGCTAACCTGCTTCTTAATTATAGTTAGGTGAGAGCAATCTCCACAGAGGGTGTTTCTTGGAGACGATTCATACAAACGAAAGTCATCCCTGTGTGTAAGCGATAGCAGCTCTTGGTTCTAAACGGCGTGTGTCAACCAGGATATCCATGACAACCAACACTTCTAGTTTCTGGTTTCAGTCAGATGGCATTGGGGAATGACATTGGTTTTGTCCTATTAGACAGCTCAGTACTAAGCCAGCCTCCCCCAGGAACTGGCACGGTACTGAATAGATGTGGTGCTGGGTTTAAAAAAAACCAATCAAGTATGGATCATTCATAATAAAGGATGCTTGACTTCTCCCACAGTTCATTATAATAGTAATTATAATCCTGTGAGCCTTCCCTTTGCCTTTTTAATTAACCCCCCCCTAAAATGATGATTTCTCCTATTTTTTGCCATCAGAAGCAACCAATCACATCACTGAGAAAAGGCCAGGTTGAGGAATAGCTAGGCAGGGTGCCGCATGAGGAGGTGAACTTGCAGGCAGAAACCATGCTCCCCGGGGGCTTGACTTGCTTCACTTTCTGGCTCCTCCACTGACAAATTGTCATTTGGGAGTGTTGTGGAACAGTGCAGGGGACATTCATGTTAATTGAGGTTGAGACTAATAAAAGTGGAGCCTGGTTCTCAAAGGCAAAGGGCCTGATGTGTGTTCTTTACGCATGTGATTGGCTGGGAGCTGGAGGACTTGGGTAAGGAGATGTGGAGGAGCTTGCAGGCTCCTCTAGCCTTCCCGTTAGCCTGCAAAACCCCCATCACTTCAAGGCTGTGAGGTCCCAGCTTGTACCTCAAAGGAGGAAACTCCGAGCTGCTCTCAGAGGCACACTGCCCTATCAGAGATGCTTGGAGAGCCAAAGGGACAGCTGTATGACTCAAGCAGTGTTAACTCCAGCTTGATGCCCACAGACCCCTTTAGAGAGAGATGTTTGCACCAGTGCAGGATGCCGCTAAGTAAGGAGAGGGGCCAACCAGCACTGTGGAGGAACAGTAACACTGAGTCAATGCTGTCCATTCTCCTAGTGCAGAGATTGCCAACCTTTCTAAGCACAAGATCACTTTTTTAATTTAAGTGCAATCTAGGATCTACCTCAGACCCTAATACTCTTGTCCCCGCTTCCTTCGTGCCCTTTCTCTGAGGTCCCACCCCTGCTCACTCCATCCTCCCTCTTTCCCCATCCTCCCTCCCTTTCACCAGGCAGGGGCAGAGGGTTGGGGCACAGGATCTGGTCTTAGGCTAAGGTATTTGGAGTGTGAGAGGGTCTCTGAGCTCAGCCTGGGGCAGACAGTTGGGGTGCAGGAGGGGGTGCAAGGTGCAGGCTCTGTAAGGGAGTTTGAGCCCAGGGGGGCTCAGGGCTAGAGCAGGGGCTTTGGGTGCAGAGGAAACTCATGATTGGGGCAGGGGTTCGGGATTCTGGCTCCAACTGGGCACTGCTTACCTCGGGTGGCTCCTGGGTGGTGGTGCAGTGAGGCTAAGGCAGGTTCACCCCTGCCCTGGGCCCTGTACCACTCTCAAAAGCAGCCAGCAAACTCCCTCCACCCCAAGCCCTGTGCCCCCCAATCCATTCTGTGGAGATAGAACATAGGGTGGGAGGGGGCAACCTGACATCAGTGCCCCCCTACTCTCCCTTCCTTCTCTGTACTGCAAGCAGGAGGCTCCAGGGGAGGGAGGGGGAAGCTCCAAGGCAAAGGGTGGGAGATGCACAGCAGTGGGAGGAGTAGCTGAAGTGGAGGCATTTGACAGCCTCCTGGCCAAACCAGTCAGGATCACCTGCCAGAGGCTCCAAGACCTACCAGTATATCCTGATCTACTGGTTGGTGACCACTGCCCTAGTGCTCCAGAACTGTGGGGTTTGGAGGCTCTGGTTACATTATTCTGAGGAACCACAA